ATATGAAGCATGGTGGTGGCAGCATCATAATATGAAGCATGGTGGTGGCAGCATCCTGATATGAAGCATGGGGATGGCAGCATCATGGTGTGGGGTTGCATCTCTGGATGGCTTGTGAAGGTAAAATGAATGCAGCAAAGCACAGGGAAATTCTGAGGAACAACCTGATGCAGTCTGCAAGAGAACTACACTTGGGAGAAGATTTGTTTTCCAGCAAAGCAAGAAGTCAAAGCATAAGGTCAAAGCTACACAGACATGGTTTAAAGACAACAAGGTGAAGTTCTGGAGTCAGGCCAAGACCTCAATCCAACTGTGGATATGTGACTGGACTTGAAAAGGGCTGTTTACGCATGATCCCAGTGTACCCTGACAGTTTGAGCAGTTTGGGTGTCCAGATGTGCAAAGCTGATCAGGACCTATCAATCAAGCTCAATGATGAAACTGAAGCCAATCTACTACATACTGACTTGAAGGGGGTGAATACTATTCTCTTATACACGTTTTATATTTTTAATTACCTGACATTACTTTGTAGAAATCAGTTTTTACTTTGATATGAAAGTTGTTGGGTCTTTTTTGTAAAAAGCCAAATTTTATCGCCTACAAATATTCAACAACTATAAAAGGGGACACTTCCAAGGGGGTGAATACTTTTTATAAGTGTATTGGAGTGGTTGTTTTACCTCCAACATGGCCATCAGTGTAGAGTTCTACAGGTAAAAAGGAAAAAGCAATGGCAGCCTCCAGCAGTTCATGTTGTATTTCTGTATCACAGAAGTTGCTGCTGAAACAAAAAGAGACGCTCTGAACACTTGGCGACAGGTCCCTAATTCCATCATTACTACTGCGATCGTAGCATTTCACATCTATTCCCTAATTATATAATACGTGTATTGTGTAATGTCTGTGTCTCGGGAGACTTCTACATTCATATGCTTACGCACACACACACATGCATGTACACGCATTTACTCCGACGGAGCGAGAAGGTGAGTCATCCACACCACCGTGGCGGCTAAAAGCATCAATGTCTGGCACGCTGCCACGTTTCTACTGGGTCACAGATCCTACACACACCCACGTGTTGTTTAAGTTTAAAGAACAAAACATCAGAGGGAGACATGAAAGACTGATGAGTATCAGCGCACTGGATGCAATCACACCAGCTACACTCTGTTTACTGCGCTGCACAGCCGTAGTTTACCGCCAGTCATACAGTAACTAACAGTAATGGGGAAAACGGAGGAAAGAGAGGCTATTTCAGTAGGTCTCAGTTAAACTGCAGTTTGGTGAAAGGTTTCGTTACAGTCTCAGGAATAGCTGTTTCATTTTTGGTATGAGTAGTGCAGCTTTAGAAAGCTTCTGTTTTCAACTACCTCATTGGTCACTGATTAAAAACTAATCCCTGTGTGTCTAAATTACAGCTTGAGATTTGTTCTTCCATTAAAATAATCCCTTCCTGCCCAAAAATGGCCGACATGTGACTCTACACGTTATATTTAGAATGTGTGGATCTGTGAAGGTATATTGTAGACGTAATATTGGAGTAATGCAGCCACACACAAGGCTGCAAGGTGGCTCGGTGGCTGTT